GCTCGAGGGAAATGGAAAAGATTGATGTGTTCACGGGGATACTAAAGAACTACGTGTTCGTAGGGGTTCTAACGTGTACGGTGGTGTTCCAAGTAATCATAATCGAGCTACTTGGTACGTTTGCAGATACAACACCACTAAATTGGAGTCAGTGGTTCGTAAGCATCGTGCTAGGGTTCCTTGGCATGCCTGTTGCTGCTGCCTTGAAGATGATTCCCGTTGGCGCACACTAAGTCTAAAATCTTGCAATATGTACTATGTGATTCCTTATTAGATGCAAACGGTACCAATTTTTTTCTATTGGCCGTGGAAGTTTGACTTCCCAAACGGTCTTTCTATTTTTTTTTGTGTTTTTTTGTTGGCAAACGGTGTTAGGTGATTTGGAAGAAGAGCATTTGCTTCGTAAATATTCGAAAAGAAGTTATTACTATAATGTGTAAGATAATATAATATAAACTTATTTATATTTTTTATAATAACAAAATTTGTGTATTGGATAGGTCTATTGAAGTGTTTATATGGAAAAAAAAAAAATTAAGAGTAAAAAAAGACTTTATTTGTTAAAGAATTTATGAAAGATAAAGCATAAAAATATAATTATTCACTTTATAACCAAAGTATGATGATAATAATAAAAGAAACAATTGTAATAGATTTTTTGTATAGGATATATTTTGATTTTGTAAAACTAACATATTAAAATTTGATATAACATAAAATGAAATAAGATAGAAAGGCTAATCAAAATATTCGAAATTTCACTATTTTAACTTGAAAGATGCATATAAAATGAAACATATACTATAATAATTAGGTGATAATCCGCACCTTCCGCGGAGTGAGTGAATTAAAAAAATATTATCTAATATCTATAGATATTAAAAATTCGAATGGCAAAAATATTAGATATAATGAAATAGATGCATTTGTTTATATAATATAATCTTGTTTTTTTTGAATTTTTTTTTGTGTAATTGGATAATTGCATTGAAGTTTATTATATGGAAAAAACTATAAGATTAAGCAAAAACTTCTTTAAATTTAGCATGAATTTAAGAAAACAAATCATAAGTTTGAATAATTATTTAATTTATAATAGAATTATGATGATATACTTAAACCAACATAGGTAATAGAAAATTTTCCTTTATATTTAGGGGCTTATATCAAGCTATATGATATATACAATTTTAAATATAAGAAAATAAATAATGTTGATTAGTTCCAAAAATCAACAAATCAATAAATAATAATTAATGAAAAATGCTTCCTAATTTGAAACTATATTATATATTGGATAAAATTAACTATGTTACATATATATTGTTTATCAGCTTCGGTTAAATGGAATAATAACGATTTGTTATAAAAGAAAGCAATATGGATTAATATAAAAGTAATCTAAAATAAGTAAAACTAATTTCTTAAAATCAATTAAATCGATTAATTTGTTATAAGGAATAAAAGGATAAATATAAAAGTAGTCTAAAATAGAAAAAATAATTTCTTGAAATTGATTATTATATGCCAATGATCAGAACTTTTTTTTTAATTTTATATTCAATTACAAAATTAAATACGACTTGAAATATAAGAAAAGAAATAAAGTTGATTGATTCTAAAAATCAACAAATCAATATATAATAATAAATAATCAATGCTTCCTAATTTGAAACTATGTATTATATATTGGATAAAATTAGAAACAAAACACTATGTATTATGTATTTTTTTTAGATTTCCAGTTTTTAGTTTAGTTTATGTATTTTATTTAAAATTAATTTATTTTTTCATTAAATAATTGTTTGTGAAAAAATTGATACATCATCATTTTTACCTGTTTAACATGATAGTTTTTTACTTGATCAACAAGTAAATTAAATTGAATGTTTTTTTGTGATATAGTATTACTTTGAAGTTTTAAAATGATGATGAGAAAACTTCAAAATTTAAAATTAATAAGCACTAATTTCAGGTTTTTTATATGATTTTTTTCTAATTCAAACCTCAAAGTTTGATAAAAAAAAGTTTCATATTTTGTCAGTTGTCACGTGCTAGTCAAAACTCACGTGCCATGTAATGCCAATGGCCAAAACAAGTAATATTCATCCTAAGGTGACTTTCAATAGGTTTTAGAAAAAAGATGACTTTCAATAGGTTTTAGAAAGAAACACACCTCTAATAACTTTTTAAAAGTCAGCTCTCCTACTTAACCCTAAGAGGTTTCAGAACTTGTAAAACCAAACTTTTTTTTTTTGAGCAAACGTAAAACCAAACCCTAAGAAACGAAGCCTATAGTAAACAAAAAAAAACCAATGGGATCAAGAAGTTTGACATCCCAAACGGCCTTTCTATTTTTTGTTGTGTTTTCATTTTTGTTAAAACGGTGTTAGTTGATTTGGAAGAAGAGCATTTGCTTCGTAAATATTAATGATATCTGGAACTTTGTTACTCATATCTTTTGATTCTTTGCTGGATACGTTTAAGCTGTGATACTTAGCCGTGGGCAGAAAATTTAGTCACATTAAAATTTTAACTATGTTCGCTATGTTTTATGATCTTCAAGATTTAATTTGGTATTAGTTTTTAAAATTTCATGAATGTGTATTCTAAAATTTTGTTGTTTAACAAGTTCACTCATGAAATTCTACTGAAGTTGATGAATTTTAAATAAATTTGTATACAAAATTATGAAAGTTATTTACTAATTTAATTAAATACTAGGTGGTTGTCCACGAATTCGCAGATAGAAATATTCATATATATTATGTATACAATATCATGAATTTTGAATAATAATTAGAAACATTAAAAATAAATTTTTTAACTTCGTATAGTTTGACAATTAATCATAAAGTTACCATAAACTTGATGTAAAAATAACAGATGAATATTTAGTAATAACAAATAATTGTGAAAATTGTATTATATATGTAATTATCACATTAATTTTTTCAACATATATTATGCATCTTCGTCGGCCCCTTCTTATTTTTCTCGTAATCATTTCGTTCTTTTTATTAAATTTTGCTCAATTTTTCCTAATTTTTTGCCAAAATATTTATTTATCTCTAAATAGTATTAAAAACATCAATGACACAAAAATCCATCTTACAATTATTTTCAATCATAACATTATCTAATTCACTATATTATTTGACTTAAATGCATAAAAAAAAAATTTAATCAAAATTTTCCATGTTTCATTAAATATAATACGTCCAATCTTCAAAACCTAACTATTTATAAAGTATACATTATAAAGGATTAATAATTATTATAGATACGGATATATTTTAGAATGAATATGAAATATTTATATGCATTGCTATAAATTGTTTTATATTCATTTTTTACAATTTTGAATAATAATTACAAACATTAAATATATAATTTTTAACTTCAAAGAGTTTGATAATCAGTTGTAACGTTTCCATAAATTTGATGTAAAAATAACGTATAAAATATTTAGTAATAAAATATACTTGTGGAGTTATATTATGTATTTAATTATCACATTAACTTCTTCAAAACATATTATGCATCTTCTCGAGCCTCTTCTTATTTTTCACGTCATCATTTCTTTTTATTAAATTTTTACTCATATTTTTCTATTTTTTTCATATTTTTGCAAATATTTATTTATCTCTAAATAGTAATACAAAACATACAATCAATGAACCAAAAAATCATCTTAGAATTATTTTCAAATCATAATATTACTTTATTCACTATATTATTTAAATTAAATGCAAAATATTTTTAAACCAAAGTTCTCACATGTTTCGTTAAATATAATCTGTCCAATTTTTAAAACCTAACTATTTATAAAGCATACATTATAAGTGATTAATAATTATTATAGATACGACTATATTTTTATATGGATATGAAATCATTATATCGATTTCTTGAACTTTTTTAATATTCAACGTTTATGTAGTACATATAAATCTAAAAAGAATTAATCAAACATTATTACACTTTTATAATTTAAAAAATTAGCTACCATTAATTTATAATATTTATACTATGAAGATTTTAAACTCATGTAAATAATCTATAAATTCGTTTTATAATCATTAATAGTTATTATAATGTTTCTGTATCAAAGTTATATATTTTATTTATGTATATTATAACTTATATAAGTAAATAAAGCTACTTTTATCACTGTTTACATTAGAGAAATAAAGTTAGTAAATTAGTTTTGTTAACTATATTTTTTAAAAAATATACTATATAATTTATAAATAGACAATTAGCAAATCCATATAAATGAAGAAGTATCATATACAATTTTCATATTTGCTACAGTTAAATATTTAAATGATAATGCATAAGATTATATGGATTGTTTGGCAACTAACATTAATTGGTTCTAGGTTGTCTCTTTTAGATTTGATTAAAATAAATGAAAATTTAAAATTATTGACAAATCAAATTATAACAATTTTTTAAAACTTCACATATGATTGACACATAATCAAAATCATTTAAGTGATTTCTCAATTAATATATATTGTGATTTGAAATTTTAAATGAATAACACCAAACTTAAAAGTCATTAGGAACTTTTAGTTATTAGTAAAAAGATCTTAAAACATCATTTAAAGTTAGTAACTGAATAACATTAGATTATAGCTAAATTAATAAATTAGATTAAAATCTATCAATGAATAACACCTTTTTGATTTTCAATAACAATGGAATTTTGAACTTCAAATTGAATAACAGCCAAAAATTTGTCATTTTACAAAATAAGAGATCCAACAACACTGGATTTTTAAAGACATGATTTAGAATCAACTAATTGAAGAAAACTTCCTTGTTAGAGATATCATCCTCTGCTTGTTCATGAGTTGCGTCCTTGCTTTGTTGAGAGCTGTGTTTGATGATTTAAGGAACCTCTGCCACAAATAATGAAACATGAGAACATTAAATTCCGCTCATGGCTAAAATAAGAAATAATCAAAAGAAACAAAGAAGAACACTAAGTGTCAAAAACAAACCAGTTCTTCATCAGACTTAGTAGAGTGTCCACGAATCTTCTTTGGAGTGAAACTAAACACATCGTGTAGAAACTCATTCTCCTGCATATGCTTGATAAAGCCACCCCCAAGGAAATGCTTCAAATAATTTAACTGTTGAAAAAACAAACATATGTTAAAACACCACTCACAAGAAACAGACAACATAACAAGTCCTATAAAAATTGAGAGAAACCTGTATCATCTGGCACCACGTTGACGTCTGTATAGAGGCTCCTCCAACCTTTGTAGAGGTTTCAGGTGCAACTCCACCCTAATCATAAGTGGAAAAAATCATATATAAGAATCCGAACCATAATCATACATATATATATATATCATAAAAAGTTAAAAAAATACCTCAAGAAATTCAACAAGATCTTTGAACAAACTTCGTTGCGTGTTGAGATCTTTCTTAGCACAACCTTTACCACCTGCCTCTGCAGCGAGGTCTCTAAATTGATTAGTGACTTTAGATATCAATTTATGCATCTTTATCAATGCCTCCTCAGACACACTTCCTTCTTCCACTGATCCATTATCAGACCCTTTGGCTTCCGCATCAAACTTCTCTAGAGTTCCCATCTCAAATAAAAGAGCAAGAGCTTCACCAGCAGCTATACGTACAGATCGGTCGTTATTTTCCAACAATGTGGAGAGATACGTTACGGTCCTGCAATGATAGTAACATCTAATCAGCTTATAGATCCATTAATAAGTGACATTAGGTTAAAATAAATGGAAGAAAGTTCCACTTACTCTTGCAAAATTTTGGGACCTAGGGTATATCTATCAACTGTTGTGAGAAGAAACGCCCAAGAAGAGACAACAGTTGTTATTACATCAGCTGAAGGTTTGGTTGCAACAACCTACACAAAAAGTCAAGTTACATGTTAGCCTACTACATATCTTTAGATTAAATGAACTACTTTCTTAATAAACCATATTTAAAATTAAATAATGCCATATTATGAGAAAAAGAGTAAGATGCATACATTAGAAACTAGTTTAGGGTGGATCATCTGCCATATGATTTGCATAGATCTCTCGGTTTGCTCTGCGTTGGCTCCACCAACAAAGGTTATCACTGCTAAGCACTCAAGAATCTGCAATTAAGTGGCAGGATATCAGCAAGCATATAGAAATTTTTAACAGAATATATAGCTACACTTTTATGAAATCATCCATACCGAATTTATCTTCAAGGCTTCACGGCCAGATTTAAGGGCTTGAGAAAGAAGAGTGACAGATTCTTCCAGAATCTCTTGTGCTTGATCCCCAAGTCCAACAGTCAAAGCTAGCAACCCTATAAACGCCACAATAACTGTTAGTGTATAGCTCAATTAAAAAAAATGTTGAAAGATGATATGCATAAGTTGCTTGTTTCTTGGGAACTAACCAATAACATGTGATGCTAGTGAGGACTCTTTAGTGGAACCTTTCTTGATGCAGTGTAAACATTGATGCAACAAAGTGGCAAAGCTGCAACAACGTTGAGAATATACATTAGATAACAATCAGGTGTCACACCAATACATAGGAATTAACTAAGATTGTTGAAGAAGAAATAGAGTATGAGATGGTTACTTCTTTTGCAAGAACTCATGTTGCATATCACTCTTGAATGCTTCGACAATGGATGCCAAAGCTTTCTCTCTTGTTGAACTCCTTTACATCCATAAAGAAATACAAATACCATCAGTTTCACATAAAAAATCAAGTAAAATCACAACCCACAAAAAGTGATGGAGAGAGAAGGAACCCTACCTTTTCTCATAGAGAGCATCAAGGGATTGATCCAACATAAGATCTTTGTGAACATGAACTTCATCCATGCGAGGTCTCTCAGACCGCATGCTGAAGAAGGAGCTTACACTACACGTATCATCATCGCTATCAAACAAATCCATCTGGGCGTTCTTAGGCTGAGCTTCTGCAATATTAAGTGAATCTTAGTTTCTTGTATTAAAAGATATATAACTTCTCAGCCACGAAAAGAAACCAAACTAGTAACAGAACTTAACAATATGTAAAGCACTAAGGAAAACAAATCCAAAGTATTAAACTGAACCTAAAACAAAGAGATTCAGGTGAGGCATAACTAAACTCAAATTCATAAAGAATCAAGAACAGGAAGCTTACTCTTAGGCATGGTTTCTTATAATCAAAATCGAAATCAACTACCAACGGAGTGGAAGAAGTTATAGAGCTTCAGAGTTTTTGTCTTCTCAGGTTGTTATTGATTCTCAAAACGCAAGTGTCTCTCCTCACATGTTTGGCTGTCTTATATAACAAAACAAATCTAGGAGAAAAAGGAAAACAACTTAAACAGGGAAAAGGAAAATACTCGAACAGATGAAAAAGGAAATAACCTAATAACATGCGGATGTATATATCAACAATTGCAAAAAAAATAAGAATTTAAATTAGTTTCTGTGCAGGAAATTTTTGGATTGGAAGTTAAGAACTCCAACCCAAAATCTTTTCAAATATTCTTTACAATCTTCAGGTTAATTTTAATGGAAATTTTCCTTTTTGGATAAAACTTTTTTCTTTTAGAGAATTAGAAGCAAGTGGAATAGATATAATAAACCCCTTGTAAAAGAGTTATCCGATGAGATCAAAGTAGAGGGAGAAGATCGAGGCTGGTGAATTTATTTATTCCTTGTCGATCATGTATTACAGATCAATGTGATTTTTAGACGTCAAAGTATATATAAAAATAAAAAATATCAATCTGGTTATTAGTCATTCAAAGTGTACTAATATAAAAAAAAAAAAAAAAGTGTACTAATATGCAACTTCATGTTAATGACCTAGAACATAACTGTATATGGTAATGAAAAAATGCCGACTTGAGACAAAAAAACTGAGCCCTAGGAAAAGAGACAAGAACTCCTGACGGTATCTGCCACTCCATGTTCATGTCTTCAACATCATTCTTGATAGCTGCCTTCTTTTGCTGATTAACCGCACCAACCAGCCACTCATCATCATTGACAGCTTCGCTTCTCCTCTCCTGACTGTTGTGATCAGACAAATAGTCATCTTCTTCTTCTTCTATCAAACAACTCTTGTTAACTTCTTCTGCTTCATTATCTGAGAGGTGTTTTCTTGCGCAATACTCATCTTCATCAACCGATTATTTCTCCTCCGTATTCTCTTCCCGTTTGTACCTTTCTTGAAGCCACTAATTGTCTTTCCATTTTCTAGTTATGACCTAATCGAATCTAAAGGTTTCAGATCACGTCCTAAGACACCTCTCTACGTTGTTTCCAAGTCAAATCGAAATCAAAACGAGAAGAGAAACCCTAAAAGAAGAAAAAAGAACTTACAAATAAAGGTGAGAGACTGAGAGTTACGGTCTTTATCTAAAGGCAAGTGTGATGTAGAAAACTCTTGATTATAATGAGTAAATTGGGCTATCAATGGGCCTACTTATAAAAATATGGTTCTATTGTAAGGCCCATTTTTAGTGATCCACAAATTTGTTTTCCGTATCTCCAGAAAAAAACACATCGTTCTCCTTTTTTTTTTCTCAAAGGTCTAGAAACCAGAAACACTAGCAATGTGCTTCTTCATAGCTCTATCTTTATGATTATGATTCCTTCCTCCACCTCCTCCTCTTCGTCCCCTCCCTCGACCCCTTCCTCCTCCATTCTCCGCCTCTGTAACACCATCTGAGTTGTTACTGTTGTCATTACTCTTCCCTTGTGTTTGCTCTCTCCCCATTCCTCTTCCTCCTCTACCCCTTCCTCTCCCACTTCTCCCATTATCTCTTCCATCGCTTACTGCATTAACATTAGATTGACCCTTGTCATCTCTCTGTGACTGATACTCTGTCAACTTCCTAACCGCTCCAAGAGGAAGGTTTCCTCCACGTCCCAAGCCAAATATCATATCTTCCTGAGCTTCATTCACAAGTGAAGCTTCGTTTGCATTTGCCACCGCGACAGAACCTGCCACTTTGTAACTGTAGTTCTTACCATCCTTCACATAGAACTGAGGATTCTTTTTGCTTCCCCACTTTGAAGCAGCAGAGGGTTCAGTTTCTGCTGGACCACCTCTGTTACCAAATGACTCGCTTTCTCCAGTAGCTGATTCCCCAACACTGAAACCAAGATCATCAAAAGAATCATCGTATTCGTCGTCGTACTCGTACTGTGCAAGTAGAGCAGCGTTCCTCTCTCTGTCTGATTCTTTTCTCGCATCGAGGATTTTGTAGCTTGGAGTATCATCATCCTTTGGCTTTCTGACAAATCTACCAACTGCAGCGGATGAGGCTGATGAAGCTGGAAGTGAGGGACGTGTGATCGGTTGCTCCGTGTAGATACCAGAGCTACTAGTGTCAGAATCGATGAGCTTTCCTTTCCCTTTGTCTTTGCTTCCAAGAGCTGGAGCAGACTTAGGTTGTGGCATTGTCTCTGATGAAGTATCCAACCGCTGCAAGTCCTCATGGAGTGTTCCTTCAAGGATCCTCTGTATAACTTCTTCTGGATTCTGATTATACGCTTCAAGACATGCAGCTAAGAAACCATTCCCATACTCAGGGAATATGTCTTTTATTTGACTGATCTTCGACTGCATAACAATAGCATTTTCATCCATAAGCTCGGTGGTGTTTCTACCATCAGTTAGAAGAAGCGGCGCCTCCTTCACAGAGATTGTTCCTCCAGAATACGACATGATCATGGACAAATACTGAAGCTGCTCATCTTCCATTGATATCCATCCTGCGTAAAACCAATAAAAAACTGGTTTAGACCATACTGTTTTTCACTCATAGCATTAAGAAAGCATACCTCATATTTTTACTACAAAGAATTGTGCAAGAAGATACCTGCATTCTGTAAACTCCTGAGCCTATCAGTTATTCTGTAAGTCTTCTCAATCTTTTGGAGTAACCGGTTCTTGCTTTCCAGTGACTGTTCAGAAAGTCCACTAATCTCCCTGAATGTTTGGATCAGTATATCTGCCCTTACCATAGGGTCCTCTACTCTAGACGGGAACATCTTTGTGACAGCTGGAATTGAGGATTCTTGATCCAACAAATCACTGCTGAGATAACAGATGTCTAAGATTTTCCAACATAAACTTCCTATCCTTGTTGACAACATGTTTAAACTCGTTGATATCTCTGAAAGAGAATCATGGTCTCCATCCTTGAACAAGACCTGGAAGCCACGATGAAATGATGGAAACAATGAATCATGCAACCGAACAAGGCTGCTGAGAAGTTCATCCCTCCCATAACTGCATAGTGCAAATTCAATAAATATCCACTAACGACATCAACAAATCATGTATCATAGATGCAAGACTTGGGGATCCTACTCTGAGTATATCTATAACTGTTTTTCCGGCCTACATAATCTCACAAGAGAAACTGAAAGATTGAGAAAGAAGAAAATGTATACCTCGTCTCAACAGGGCATGCCAAGATTAAAGCTGCTGCTGAATAAGCAGAAGTGAAAGCATCCAAAGACACAACTCCATCATTTATGAAGTCCATAACCTAATCAGATAGAAAAAACCATTAGCACAGATGCATCACATGCCCACACACTATTAACATGCAAAATATATGTCAATGTCGATAGGTTCAGATTTTAATTTCCTTTGCCAAGCAAAGAAACAACGTATCAATTATTTCTTAAACTCACCACCAGGAACTTCAATGCTCCTAGTCTACCAACATAATTAAATGCTAACTCGCACAATGTAAAACCAGATACATAAATAGCAAAAATAAAAGAGGGATATTTACCTCCAAAAGGTCAGAATGGAGTTGTTTGCTTCCGTGGTCTTCACTATTTGCAGTCGAAAACAAGGTCTGCAGATAAAATTTACAAGAATGAAATTCAATGGACCGTAGAAACAAACTAAAACAAAAAAACAAAACTTTTCAGACCAAAAATGTTAAGTACAACACTTGATGTGATCTTAGACTTAGTGTAAAAGTGCATATGGACCTTTTTTCTAATCTATACCAAAGTAAAGTTTCTGAAATCAAATACAAATAGCATACCTCCAACGATGAGGTGCAACGGCGATGCATTGTGTGCAGGATGCCCAAGAAATGAGACAACATTGTTTTCAAATTATCAGGAATCCCGACTTGTGATTTCACAGCATTCTCAATCTGAGAAACGGAGAATTAAGTTAGCAGAAGAATAGAAGATCATCTCATCTTTAACATCCAGAGGCAATTAGGAAACCCCTGATGTTAAATGTCACCAAAAACTAAACGGTAGCCCAGAGATAAGATATTATCTCAGCTTTCGGACCAAGTTAACTTTTACTGGAATGACTTACTAAAGATTTTGTGAGCTCAGGATTCTCATGTCCATAAATAGCGCATATATCCAATAACTTAGGCAAGTCCAGTAACTTCTTTTCCTGCAAGAGAACTACAAACAAAACTAGTTAACAACTAAGCAAGAAAACAATCTCAAGTAAATCCCACAAGACACGTCAGACACAACAACAAGCACAAAAGAAGAAGAAGATTTTCTTGATGAAATGGAACTAAGAAAATCATACTAGAAAATCTTGATCAATGAGAAGACTTATCTCACTACCTATTCTAGTCAGTTACTGAGTTACCTATGCCGAGCTGGTCTTAAAAAACACTCTTTCACAGACTGTGATAATTAAACATACACTCAAATATGTGTGCTTAGCACAAACGCCAACCACTATAAGCAAAAACTTGTATGCTTATCCAACATACAATCAAATATGTATGATTAGCACAAATGTGAATTTCTCTCCAAGAACGTAATGAATAACATAAAAGTGAACTAAATTAGCATTAACAAAAAGAGCAAAAAAAGGCCAACCTTCATGATCTTTCTGAGTAAGGCTATCAGCAGCTCGAGCACCAGGATCCCTATTGGAAGATCTGCCA